AAAGAATAAATATCCATGGGAAAAACTTAGTTACAAGTCCTAATCACAGTGAATTTTCGTACTGGTTAACTTTTTCCCCTTTGGGCAAAAATAATGTTCAAGGGAACTTTACTGCTGCACGAGTTGGAACAAATGTTTGTTTTAAAGTATTTAACAGATTTCCTTCTTATCCTATATAGAAAAAGATTCTATGTTCCCTTCAAGTACGGATATCCCATGTATGAAATTCATACATTTTAAAGAAATTTGAGTTTTAGGATTTCTCAAAGTAAGGTACTAATTGTCACAAAAATGTTAAAGTAATTTTTATTTTATCACATTACATGGTTACATCTACTCTGAAGTATGACAGTGAGCCTAGTTATATTATATACTAACAAGATAGAAAACTCAACAGAACAATGAAAGAGGCTATCATGGCACCATTCCCAGCACAGAAAGTGTCTAAGAGTCTGGAGAAAAGCAAGAGGCGGGCAGGCGTGGAGGAGAAATCCCCAAACAAAAAAGTGTCACTGCATTCTTGGTGCGGTGTCCACAGTTTTACTGAAAAGTAAAGCTGTCTACGTTTTTATCTGTAAAAAAAGGTATGTTTTCTTTATAAGGAGCTAATCAAGAAGAAACACTGAAAATTACTCAGTAAACAGGATTCATCAATCAGTGTAATCAATATGTTGGTGTGTTCTGCCTTTCAGTCTGATCATCCAGATCAGCCGAACTTACTGGATACTGTGTAACCTCTGACGTTTCTTTGAGGTTAAATGTCAAAGTGGCAGTTGTCAGCATTAGGCTCGGATGTTGAGTTCTGACTCAAACACTCGGAACAGTTCAGGGTCTAACAGAAGAAGCAGGAGTAACCTGTTCACTGATGTAAGCAGCGCCTTTTCTTGGCAGCTCAACCAGTTATGTCTGTGTCCTTACCAAATGAAGACAAAGATACATACACTTTTCAAGGTCATTCAAATCACGTGTATATCCACTTAATTGGTCCTTTTTGAAGAAAACTACATTTAAAGTTGATGACAGAAGGCAAACAAACCTTTTGGATTCTCTGTCATATTCCTCCCCAATCCATATATATGACTGACAGGCCAGCAGAGAAGTTACATCGAGTTCTTGTACATCATGTGTTGAAGCCAAAACAATTTCATTACAGTTTGCCTGTAAAGCAAAGGCAGAGTCAATAATTTAAGCAGTTTCACTAAAACAAAGTATCACATTCTTTATAATGACTAAAGATTTCACCTTATTCACAGAAAACGCCATGATCATATCCGATTCCTTATGGATGATTTTCGCCTTTCCACCCGGATAGCCCAGATCCGCTTCGACCTGCAAGACATTTGTCAGAGGTTGTAGTTGCTGCAGCACCGCTCTGTACAGAGATATGAGCATCCCACAAAATTTAAAGGAAGGACAAGAAGAAAATGTAGCAGCAGCAGCAACAAGAAAAAAAGTCCCAGTAAATTTAGTCTGTTGAAAATTAGCTTTGGAATTAGTTTAAATTCTCTGATGCCCTGTATTCACCCCAATTATAAAGATTTCCATGTTGATTACAGGAGACTGAGTAGCTATCACAAAAGATAGCTAGCATAATTTTCACTAGTATTTGTAACAGGCATGTGTCTCTTTTATCTCTTCCAAAAGTGCAAAGATACTGCAGTAAGAAGGTGTACAGATTAGGAGGCACAGAGTAGAGGAAAAAGACACAGTCAGAAAGACAAAGGGGTCACATAAGAAAGGGAACGTTTTTAAGTAAGGGTGATGAGATGGGAATAAGAAGTTGGACAGAAGAACAGTTAGGAATGGAGGAGACTGATGAGAGGAAGATAAAATGCTTAGAGTCAAAGGGGACAGGAAGGAAAGATGAGGATCATGTTTAAGAACAGATGGGGGCAAGGGGCAGAAGTGAGGATGGAACAGGAAGCAAGGAGAAGGACCAACGGCAAGAAGGATCAAGCCGGACACAGCAGAGCAGCTCCCACCCTGTGCCACTGAGGTGTGTGTGGGCAGCGAGCACTGACTGGTGAGCCAGCAGGGCAGGGCCGGCTAGTATCAGAGCTGAGGGGTTAGCTCCTTGAACCTTAGAGAATGAGCTGGACAGAGGAGCGCGGAACACTACCTTGACGCGGCAATCTTCTGCTACGCAGTTTTGTTTGACCTGCTCCACATGTTCTTCTATAGACTAAGTAACACCACACCGTCACAAACACAAAACACATGCATGAAACGAAATCACAAAAAGAATGAAAATTTTCAAACTGAAACTGTCGCTGCATCACTTAAAGACGGCAAAAATGAATTTGCAAGCCTTAAAAATGAATCTAAAAGCACAAAATCAAGAAAGAAATTAAACTAAGTTAAATGTGATGTCATCAGATAAAACACAACACAAAGCAAAACAGGCAAAATTAACATGACTGTTACATACATAAAAGCAATTTCAAAATAAAAATTCAGTATTTGTATATCCGTTATGCGACTTAAAGCTCTAACTTAAACTGTCATCTCAGAAAATAAAACCTACGTGTACGAGCAGATGCACTACATAGATTCTTACCCAACGAGGGTTTATTTCAAATTAAAAAACTTACTTTTTTCTGAACACAGATTGGAAGCACTGATGATTTTTCACTCTTACTTATAAGGAATATATCCGTGTAGAGAGACTCAGGAGTTAGGAGTCACGTCAACCACTTACTACAAATAATCGTACGATTTTTCTCCATGTAAGTCAGTGTTTGACGACATGCGGCACGGGAAAGAACGCTCACAAGTAACTTGCTCCCAGTTGATGGCAGGGCCAACGGGGATGGCTACGATCAGAAGTAGTGTTTTTGCTCTGCTGTGGAAGCCTCTGAAGGTTTGATCAGAGCAATACATTCCTCCTAACACCTCCTGAAATGCCTGCTCCTCTTTCAGCCAAAAGGGCCCAGTGCTCCATGCCGTCAGCGACAGCCCGCGGCGGACGGTGAAGGGCTGGCACGGCCCCGCTCGGCAAGAGCCACGCTGCCGAAGAACCTGCTTGCCCTAAACCACCAGTGGCGAAGTTTGCCACATTTGTCCTCTTCACAAAAACTTGTTTTGTGGACTATTCTTCTCTAACACATTCAATGAGTGAAAGCACCTTATGAACATATCTAAAATTTCAGCATTTCTCAGAATTTCATTTTTATTAAGTAATTTTTAAAAATCAGCCAACGTTTTAGCATTCTTAGAATTTGGCCAATTTTACTAATTGATCAATTCACTGAATTTACCAAATTTTTTGATCACCAATATCCTATTTAATAATTTAAAAAGATAAAACATTCGTATTGGCTGAGCAGTTTTTTTTAAATTTTGCATATTTTTGAACTAAGTGACCAATTTTTATTTTGTCTTACCAGCTTTAACATTTTTTTCATAATTTTTTTTCCTACATGTAAACCTTTTTATCAGATCTGTTCTATTCAATACAGTAGCTGATAACCACGTGTGGCTATTTAAACAAAATAAAAAATTCAGTCCCTCAGTCACACTAGCCACATTGCAAGCGCTCAGTAACCACATGTGGCTGGTGACTATTTCCATTATCACAGAAAGTTCTATGGGACGGCCTGAACAAGATACTAATCTCATTCAACGATTTAAAACTCTCAAGCTACAAAAGAGTACATGTAAAAATTCTTCCTTCCACCCAAACTCCCAGCCACTGCTTCCCTTCCCTAGAGCCAACCAATGCTTAACAGAGCATTTTAAGAAATGTTCAGTTTATCTCTGTCCCACTTCCCTGTGCACGGAGAGCCTCTGCTGGCAGAAAAAGAGAACACACAGCTTGTGCTGCTGATCCCAGAGCACAGCGACCAAGGAAGGGGCATCAATAGGGGAGAGAAGGGGCAGAACGGGGCAGAGGCTTAAAGGAAGAGGGAAGCCAGGGAGGAAAGAGCAGATCCTGAAGGGCAAGACAACAGCCTGAGGGTCCATGCAACCTAGACCTGGCTTCCCCCAGCACTCCGAGGCTCTGATGATCTAACGAAGCAAAACTGCTATAAACCTTATGAATAATTAAAGCTTATTTTCAAGAAATCACTATGTTTAATAATTTGAAGACCTAACACTCAGAAAATTGATCCTTCAATGAACTGGCTTTCTGTGAGTTAACAGCTCTCACTGAGCAAGTATCTTTTATTTTAAATCTATTTCTTAGATTTCTGTGTCTTATTTTATGGGATTTGGGCTCAGCAGCACTATAGGAAAAGCAGCAAAGAATGGATTAGATGAAAGAGGAAATGAGTTTGGCTATATGACTGCCCTAGGAAACCCTACATCAATCATTTCAATACCATCAGGATCTCTTGTTATCAAAAAAGCTTGTAAGACACAAAAGAATCCCGAAAGTTCATTCCTCTAATTTCTTCTAATTTTTAACTCCTCAGAAAAAACAAATGGCTGTTCGCAGGGACTGACCACAATGCCCATCCAGGCAGGTGGGTGACTAGCGAAGAGAACAAGCCAGGAGGTTCTGCTGCCCTAGGCGGGGGGGGGGGGGGATTTGAGAAGCAGTCCCGCGTTCTGCCTGGGGAAACAGCCATGTAGACCATCCCTCTCAGTTTTCGCTTTCCTAAGTGAAATAGAATTCATTTTTCTTTTCTCATAGATTTTCTTGCCAAATTTGTAATCACATCTGACACTACCCTGATCACTCTCCAAGCTGCCTGTTACCTCGTTAAATAGCCAAATGGACTAAAACCATCTAGATCTGTGCACCCCTCATTTTACAATGAAGAGATCATTTTAAGTTCTGAAGTGACTCTCTCCCAAATTTCTGATTCTTCTTGAACCCTGTGTGGCATTACATTGCTAACATATTTAGCTTAAAAACCACCACGCAATGTAGAATCTCTTCCTTACTGTGTAAAAGCAAACTTCCTTCACCTTGTATTTGGTATTTCTGTAATTTAATCTCTCTCACGAAATTATCCTGAATTTGGTGCTCCTACAGTTTATCCTGTCCGTTTCTAAATGCTAAATAAATAAAAATGTTTTCAAAGGTTTATGCTGAATTTTCAAATAAACGATATTTAGAGAATCGTAACATAGAGTATACTCATTTATACATTAAATTCCCCAAACCATCCATCACAATGTTATTACATGTAAAAGCCCAATGGCAAATACGATAAAGGAGGTACCAACTTTACTTGATTACACAGGATTTATCAAGGGACCTATGTTGTTTCACTGTTATGAAATAAAAACTGTAAGTTTTTATCTTAAAAATATTATCAAGGGGTGGGTATAGCTCAGCAGCAGAGCACATGCTTAGCATGCACAAGGACCTGGGTTCAATCCCCAGTACCTCCATTAACAAAAAGTTCTTTGTGGTTTGGTAAATTATTACCTATGATGTATGAAAGATAGTAAGTTCTAACCAAAAGTAAATTTCAAATAAATCAAGCACTGGCTTCATTAGAAATGTTCATGAAAACTAAACAAAGATTACAAGATACTGGATTTGGCACAAAATTGTAAAATGACTATAACTCAATAAAAAAATGTTAAAAAAATTACAAGATAGATTTTTTTTAAATACCTCACTCTGCTTTCTTTTCTTAGTGAAAATATATCTAATAAATGTCTCTTGAAGGACTTCTTGTTTTACAAGGAAATGCCAAAGTCGTTTGACTGGAAGTGCAGAAGAATCCCGGGATCTGGTTAAAAAAAAAAAAAAATTAACATATCATACTATCTTAGTCTATAGAAAATGTCTCATTATTTGCAGATTTTGTTTTAAAACCTCCATTACTGCAAAGAAGATGCAGCATTAAGCTCAACAAAATTTTATAGTTTACTTCACTTCCAATTTTTAGTTCTAAAAAATCATTCCTTCATCTAGCAATTAATTCTCTAATTACAAGTTCTTTGAATGCACAGGTTGGGCTTAGAGTCGAATGAATCTCCTATTCTCTTTTTAAATTATACTTTATGTTGGCTCTGTTGGTTACAACGTATCACCGATGAATATAAAGTCACACAGTTCATTTTTAACAGTCTAACAGGATAAGAATAAAAAGCCTTGCTCTTTCAAGGGCATGAGCAATACTCTTAATTATGGCTAGACAGGTAGGAGGTTAAAACAGCAATAAAAACCCTAATGTGTTTAGTACTAAACCACTGACAAGAGGCCAGTAGCACCGTGTTTGCATATGTAGGTTATTATCCCAAGACATTTCTACAAGAGTTCTTAAACTGATGATGGAAATACAATAAAGGTTTTTTTTCCTGATTATAAAATTAATATGTCTATCAAAATACAGGTAATACGGGAAAAATAATTTTCTATCCAGATTTCTGATGTTTTCCTTAGCATATACTGCTAAAAACAGGACTACAAGTTCAAAGTTATGTTTTGAATGCTGTCGGCACATTACTTTGCCAAACTGTCTTCCAGAAAAGTTAAACTAAGCTACAGTCCCATCAGCGTTAAAGGAGCATTCGTACTTGAATGGAGTATTTTCAGGTTCTAGCATCGCTTTATTTCGAAGAATAGCTGGTCCAGCCCCTACTGAAAGGTCAGCTGGATATGTGTTGATGTAGTTGGGAGGGGGACCTTCAAACTGATCCATTTTCTCTTGCAAAATCTGTTCCCAGTTCTCCAAGTTTTTAATCACAGCAATACCTAATGGTGATGTTACAGGCAACTCTACAATGGAAGAGAACACGACATTTTATTTTGATTATAAATGATGACCATCACCATCTATTTACAAAATCCAAACAATCAGAGCCAGAATTTCTGAAAATATAAATAAATCCGAAAATGTTAATCTAACACCATTTGGATTCCCAGTGCTTTGAACAAAACAGAAGACCACCTCTCTAAAATGAGCTGAGAAAGTGTCTAGCTTCTCCAGGCTGGTTCCCTGCCTTTTTTTTTTTTTCCCAGCCTTCTAGGTAGACAGTGATTCTTGCCAGATGAATGAAAACCATAGACTAGAGCCTAAAATAAACTAGACTTCATAACATCACCAATGCAGTATTTTCTTTTTTAGTACCCAATGTTCCTTTGTATGGATTTTGTAATGAGAAACTTGAAGATAATTTGATGTATTTAATAACATTAATTTTCAAATTCCAAACTTACCAGAGAATTCCAATCCAGCAATGGGAAAGAAATTCCTGACATTGTGCAGTGCTAGCTTAACCACTGCCAAATGTAGAAGAGCCCAGCTGTTCAAAAAGGGACAAAAAAAATTCTCCTTAATTGAAACATAAAGTCATGAGAGAAGCATAGTGATGATCTCTGTCAACGGCCTAGCCCCATCTCCCAACCAGAAGAAAAGCTGTTTTCCTCCAGCAATTTACATTAGAAAATCGTACCTGTGTGGTCTCTGAAAATAAAAGACATGCAACAATATTACACTTGCAATATCTGAAAACTACCTAATGAGAAGAGACTTACCACAAAGTCACATGGAGCCCTAATAGCACATCAATAAATTATGTATTTTTCCCACTAAAAATGTTTGTGCCAGCTAGTCTTTGAAACTGAATGTGAAAGAAACACTCTACTAAGAATTTACCACAAAGGTACAGAATTCTTAACCTGAAAACCTAAGTCAGGCCTTGTGTAAATTCATGATGATAATGTTACTTAAAACTAGTAGTATCAGGATTTTCTACAAAATAAAAGGCAAAAAGAAAAGGAAAAAGCCTTATTTACCTGTAGGAGTTTGGGTCTTGGTGCTCCTGCATCTGAGTATCTGAAAAAAAAGCATCATCTTCTTCCTCATCGCTATGAATGCTTTCATCCGAATCGTATATAACACCGCTCTCAGACAAGGGGAGAAATGGCTGCAATAAAACACACAGTTATTTTCAAATGTATAATGGGGTTAATTTCTGTACCAACTAAACACTGAGTATTTCAAAAGGTGTCATCCTACATAAACATTTTCTTTCAAAAAATGATACTAGACCTAGAAAAAGTCAAGGAAACCACACTAAAACTCTGAGTCAACAAAATAATTGAGTAGCGAGATACAACACAAGCATTTTTCAAAAATCAAGTCTTTTTCCTTATATATCGGCAATAATTAGTTCAAAAAGTCTAGAGAAAAAAGGTGCACTGAAAAACATGTTAAAGGAAAAACTTTATGAAAACTGTAAGAGAGCTATAGAGAAGGAAATTATAAATCCTTCCAAAAGCATAAATAAGGAGACTGAAACATGTAAAAACTGTGGATCTTTAATTTATGGGTTTTAAGTAATTACAGTAAAAATCTTTTCTTTTTTAACTTGATGACTATGAAGTTCACAGGGAAGAAAAAACAGGTAAGATTAGCTGAGAAATCTTTTAAAAGTGAAAGACACCATTTCTTAGTAGATATTAAAATAAATAATTAAAAGAAGTGCAGTCTAGCAATGAATCAGTGGAAAAACGTAGGCCAAGAACAGTATACAAATAAGAAATTAATATATGACAAAGATAACGTCATCCATTGTCAGGAGGAAAGGACAGGTAGTACATGTGTGGGGACAGACGATAAAGAGGGCAACGAAGCCTGCCCCTCACTGTATTCTATGCAAACAAGAGAGGTAAAACTTAGAGTTACAAGTTTAAAAGGAGGAGGAGAAACAGCAGGAGGAGTAAACAAAGGAGGAGGAGGAGGTAATAGAAGTAATTATTAATGGAAAGGACTTTCTCTGCTTAAAAACAATGTAACAAATCATTTTTTAAAAGTATGGACAGGCATGACTAAATAAACTTTCCTGGACTTCTGTGTGTCAAAAACATAAAATTAAAAGGCAAATAACAAACTGGAAAAAGCACCCACAAGTAAGATAAACTGCTTCTAAAGGATGCAGATTTGATCTTTGTTACCTGAGAATGCTTGAAACAGGAATAAAGAGCTCGTCTCAAATTCAAAAAAAAAAAAAAGATAAATTGCTGATATCCTTAACACAGAATTCATTAAAAGTAAGGAAAAACATTAAAATTCCAATAATTCAGTTAAGAACATGAAAGTCAATTCTTAAAACAGAAAACCTAATGGCAGTAAGTTCATTAACATTTTTGATGTCACTAATAGGAAATAAAAATTATTTAATCTATCAACTTAACAAAAATGAAAAAGGAAGACTTAATGAGCATAAAAGTCAGGTGTACACTTACTCACTTACTATTCTCAAGAGAGTATTAATCAGTAACCTGGACAGTAATCTGGAGATAGTTATCAAAAGCCTTTGACCCAACACTTCTTAATGAAATAATCAGAATGTGAACAGGCTTATCTAAAAAGATATTAACCTCAGCATTATTGATAAAAATAAAAAAATTTATACAGCAAATACCTGATAAGCAAACAGTTATGTAAACCATAGTACATTCATCAAACTGAATAGTCATTTGGTCATTAGAAATGACACGTACCTAGAAACAGTGACAAACCCAAATACCCACTTATGGTTTCTAATTATCATTCCCCACAAAAAGTAACCAGGTTCTTTGGAGGAATGGTTGTTCCCAGTTCGGGCAGGAAGTGTGCAAGATTAGCCTAGAATAACTCAAACTAGAAAGAAAAGAAACTCAAAGATTACTGGAATAGCTCTTAAAAAGATTCAGGAGCCAACTGAAAAAGGCTCTCATTGGCAAAGATGGGATCATCTGAGCATCCGTAAGAATTACTGCCATGGATTAAAACACGTAAAATATGTTTAAATCCATAAGATCATAACAAAACTAGTAACAAAACAAAACTCACTGGCCTCCTCTGAAGGATGTTAGACAATCAACTCATCACTTTGAGAACTGGTACAAAAAGCAAAGAATTTATTCATTTTGTCTTTCCCTTTCGAAATGTACTTCAGGGTAACCAAACAGGCTGATGAAGGAAAGTATTCCAGCAAATAAATGAAGAATAAATGTGAGGATACTGTTATCACAATTTTTAAATTCCCATTAAAATAATGGTATTTAGGCAAAGATCATCAACCAAGATCACAGGAAGAGTGCCTCCTGGTGGAAATACACAAAACCACCGGTGTGGCAGCCTTGAACTCCCCTTCTCCTGTCCAGTCAGAACGGAACTCAATAAAGCCTCTAAGCTGAACTTTCACTTTACAGAAAAACAGGAATCAGAGGAACATGTTCAGAACAAAACATGGGGATGCCATCAGCAAAAGCCACCAAGCCATTTTAAAGGACAAATTTAGGGGCAAATAGAGGGTGAATTCAACAAAGTGAGATGAAGGTAGAACCCATAGATTAAAAGAAACTTAGGGGATATCTATCTGTCTATCTTATTTTGGATCCTAATTTAACAAACCAGTTGTTCAAAAAAATTTAACATATAATTGGGGAAAATGTGAACGCTCTGGATACTTGATATTAAGGAATATTGTGTGTGTGTATGTATGTGTGTGTGTGTACATGAGAGAGAAAGTGTGTGTTTCTGTTCAAAATCCTTCTTTAAAAAAATAAATAGTGAAATACTTATTAATGAAATTTCATAATATTTGGGTTTGCTTCCGAACAATCTGGGGAGTGGGAAAAACTATAAATGAAATAAGACTGTCACTGAGCTGATAATCTTTGAAGCTGGATGACGGTAGGTGAGGATTCATGTGCTATTATCTGCACTTCTGTGTATGTTTGAATTTCCATAATAAAGGTTTTTTTTGACAGCTATGATACATTGTTAATGGTGTGATAAGTAATTTATCTTGTAATGTCAACTGAAAAGATCAAATATACGAGTCCAATTATGTATTTTTTAAAAATCTGAGGATGAAAGAATCACATTTGCCCAAGTGTTAACAGTTACCTTTGGGTAGATGAGTGCTGTTTTCCTTCTTTATACATTTTTGCCTCTTCCATATTTACAAAACTTTAGATTAATCAGGGAGAAACATTTTTTTAAAAAAGAAAATGAAGCTGGTACATTAGCATTGCAAATGTCATCATTCACATTAATGATGCAATGAGATTTCATGAGAAAGAAAATTTTCAAATTAGAAAGG